GGTAGAGTTAGGGTTTCACAACACCCAAGTGAAAAGGGGTTGAAACCATCTTGGAGGAGGCTTACAATCTTCTTGGCCCTTGTGTTGAACTTTCCTTGGAGAAAATCTTCCCAAAATCCACATTGGAGCAAAACCCTAGCCGTCTTCTTCTTTGTTTGTGTTTCTCTCTCTAGAAATCAGAAGAAGGCTTTCTCACTCAAGTGGGCTCTCCCTCTCTCTTCCTTTCGGCTCAGCATTTAAACAGGGAACGAGTTGTGTTCACGGCTCCAGTTTACGGCCGTGAACACTGAAACGCGTCCGTGAACTCCAATTGGGTGCCGAAACGCACCGCTTCGCTTGCTTGTGTTCGCAGTCCACAGCTCCTGTTCACAGTCTTAGCGACCGTGAACACATTTGGCGTCAGTAACTTGCATTTTGGCTTTGGACGCCTCAAAGTTCATGGCCAATGGCTCTTCTTCACGGTCATACTAGACCGTGAACAGCTAAGGAAAACCGTGAACTCGCCGTTTTTCACCTCTTCTCCCGATTTTTTATCATTTTTGTGCAAGTTTCGACTCCGGGGCTGGTTTCACCTGTTAAATCCTGAAACACACTAAAACATGAGAAGCCTAGCATGAAACCAACCTTTTAGGAGCGAAGTTGCCACAAACGCTTAAGGAAAACGGGGGCAAAACATGTACATTTAGGTCCGAATCACATAGCCTTCCCTTTCAAGGTCACATTTGGCGAAGTTGATGGGCGGATTCATCTTAGCCCGAGCACCACTTCCCAGCTTGCACTCTACATTGGGTTGCCATACATATCGGGTACAAATGAGGTCTATGTGGTCTCATGAATCGCTAAAAGGTGCTACGGACCTTGAAATACGATTCCATGAGGAGAAAAGATACTTGGGAGATGGTAAGAAGTGAACGATGGTTGGGATGTGGTAAAGCTATCCGATCCCCGAGCATATCCTGAAAGGGCACTCCGAATCCGTGAGGATTGATTTCCTCACATGTGATCCTCATTTTCAAAAGATTTTTCACTCTTTTCTTTCTTTTCTAATACGCACAAACTTGTAAAACCTTTGAGTTCACTATACAGAAAGGAGAATCCCCCACACATGTTCTTCCTAAAATAGCACATATTATCGACTCACAAAAGAGGAAGAAGATAGTAAAATTACCCACACACCGGTACTCTAATCATGAAACTATCACCTAGCGAGCACAACGCATCAATCATCTAACAAATCAAAGCATATTGAGTAGGGAGTTGCAAGTAACAAGGTGTTTTGGAACCCTCAAATTTGAAAGTTTTGGGTAATAGCATTCAAGTTCCAAAACACTATCATTTGTCTGTTGATCACCACAACACAAACACAATTGATAGCACACACTCCCATAAGTATTCATCAACATCTCACATTCATAAACAAGGGATGATTCTAGCAATATATCGTTCAACCAATCATGATATTCATTAAAACACTCTTACACATCTCCCCACACTTGAGCAACACATTGTCTTCAATGTGGGAATTTCATAAGAGAACATCGTGAGGGTTACCATAGGTTTTGGTGGTGGCTTGGTGAAGGTACACAAGTGTAGGCTTTTTCTTCCTGGTGGTTTTCACAATGATAAAGAGCATAAGATAGAGAGGAAGACGATTAAGAGTTAATTATACATATGATAGTAATATAATATAAGTGCGAACACTACTAGTACTAGAATATTTAAATATGAAAAATGAAAAACAAAAAAAACAAAAAATAAAACGATAATTAAATATTTTTTTAATTAAGATAAAGAAAAGCAAAGAAAAATGAGATAAAAATCGGTCCCTAGACGCCAAGTTGTCTTTGATGCATGGTTGGAACATATGGTAGTTTCACATCGGAGGCTCTTTCTTGTAAGGATGGTCCATCATAGTTCGTAGTCGCCTCCATTTGTTGATTTGTTTTGCTTGATGTGGTTGCTTCTCGCCTTGAGGTTATGGTTCTTCTCTTGCAAATTTTGGTTCTTCTCATCATGGGAGGTGCCAATTTCTTCGTTGTTGAGAGCTAAGAGAACTAGCACTCTCACTCTCGGTTGGATAGCCATTAGAAGAGGAAAATCACAAAACATGTCAAATAAACCATTAGGCAACTCGTTAGATCAATTGAACAACAAAATCCATCCGTAGGTTCACTCTATACACCCCCACACTTAAGTGTTACGATGTAGCAAATAGAGGTGCAAAGGTAGAAATGCATGTTGCAACGACTAGGGGCGAGGTCTAGATGCATGAAAACTAGGGCGACATGTCTTTCTAGAGGTTTCTAAACCCCAGCCGAAGGCTAGAATCAACTGATTTGACAACAACCAAAACTTGAACTCTTGGCTGTTAAAAGCATAACAAAGCACAAAATCAAAAGTGAGACAAAATTTTAAACTCAAGTAACATGCATCAAGGATTCAATCCTAAGTCATAAATACACTCCTAAGGGTCTATCTTAATCAAACAAGTTCAATTGAAAAGCCATGGATCAAGAAAAACAGGTTTTATGTGGTTTGGGCATTTCATCGAGCACTTGGTGGGCGACATTCAAACTCAACAAATTCATAAAGATAAAGCCTACCAAGGCCTCCAAACAAACGTCACAATAATAAGCATACACTTTAGGTTTTTTGAGTCTTTGTGAGTGTTTCGAGTCTATCTGAAGTTTATTCCGTGGCGTCATGGGTCATATTTTCGTCATGGGTCAGAAACATGACCGTATTTCTCGTTGCCCCCTGCCTGTGTTTTCCAATTCCAACTGGTTTCATGCTGCATTTAAAACACGGGTGCAAGGTCGAGAAACACAGTTGTATTTTTCCCAGCCCCTGCCCGTGTTTTCCACCCGCTCTGCGTTGCCCTCGACATAAGAAACACGTGCACTTTGGCTAGAATCATGATCGTGTTTCTGGTTGGCCCATTCAGACTTAGATTTTTTTCATTTCATATTCTAATTTTTTTCGTTTCATTTTCTAATTGAGGGCAATGTGGACCTTAAGTGTGGGAGGTGTTTATCATGTTGACTCTTTGGTTATTATGATTGTGCTTGGAGCGTAGTCCACTGTCCAAATCTTCAAATTTGAGGGCTCCAAGTACCTTGCTCCTTGCAAATTGTCTACTCAATATTCTTTGAGCACCAGTTTCATACTCTGTTGGTTGATTATGTGAAGTATTGGTCATAGGATATTAGATTCGTGCATTATAGATGAATCTATCTTTTTTGTGTCCGACTCTTGTATCATGTTGGGTGCTCTAAATGTGCTTAATAAGAACCAATTTGGTCCTCCATGTTCAAAATTTGAAGCACGGGGTAAGCCCAACGTATGTGGCATCGTTCATTGAACTAAATCGGGTTTTGAAAGAGACACTAGTTGATCTTTAGTGGGGGTACTCCTACAGGGTGATGCTAGTTCCTCTTTAGTAAAAGTAAAAGTTCCACCCATATAATTGATCGCCTACTTGAGGATGTGTTTATAAGGGCATGGATAAAGTTTCCAACCCCCCTTAAATTCATTGATCCTCAACACGAATTGAGGAAAATGAGTTAAAAGAAGTACTTTGATAAGGGACAAAGATAATAAAATTACTCTTGCTCAACAAATAAGGGTAGACTTTGAAATTTTAGGTTGGAACCACGCTTTTGAAAATGAATGGAAAATAAAAAAATAGGGTAAGGAAAAGGGGTTCCAACTAATCCAATGAACATAAAAGAGCACCCAAAATGATGAGTCCAGGTTTATGTGTATTTTGCGAGTCTCTTCATCCATGAATCATTTGTCTTAGGCCAACTCCTTGGCAATTGGCATGATCCCAACTCGGGACCAAAGTTCTCGTCGTGGGATTCAGGCGATATTTTGTGTATCCTTTGACCTCATAAGTGGCTAAGTGGTCTAGAGAACCCACTGCCGACGATCGTGGTTACATGTTGCTACAGAGATCTAATGAGCTGCATTGGTTTGAGTCAAGTGTGCTTGGGGACAAGCCAACGTTAAGTGTGAGGGAATTTGATAACATCACATTTGCAAATGTTTGCACCCTCGTTTATTGGTCGTTTTGGCATGGATTCGTGCGTTCCTTCGTGTCTGGACGTGTCAGTGTCCAACATGAATCCCTCAACTAGGAAGTCATCTAGAACCTGGGCTTTGATTGTCGGTCGCAATGCATACTTGATGCCATACACTGAATAATCAAACCCCAATTGCCAATTGGGGATTAAACAAAAAGGATAGAATGGGGGAAGAAGAATATAGGTGACAACTTTGATTAATCAGCTAATTTATCAAAATAGTTAAATCAGTTTGATTGAGTAACAAAATGGTTACAAATATTTAGGACGTAATAAAGAGGTCACATAATTATCACGTTATAAAAAATATTTGTTTCATCTTTTATCCATGCTTTTGTTCGAATGGTAAGTTTGTTTGCTCTGGATAAGAGGTAATTTTATGCCAAAGATCACATAGCCTAGCAGTGAAACCCTCGTGGCCGTTCGTTCCTGAAAGTGGCTAGTCCAGTGTTCCCCCCCCCCCCCCCCCCCCCCCCCCCCCCCGCTGGTGTAGTGTTCCCGGAGGCATGTTTGGGTACAGAGGGAAGCCCCGGTTGCACCTAAGTATGCAAGTGGCCATCAGGTTCAGTCTCACTCCTCTATAAAAAGTTTGATGTGTGTGGGGAAGTTGTCGGATTATCAAAAGAAAAAAAATTAACAAATTGGTTAGGTGGCTGATAATTTATTATTAATTTTGCACCATTTTTGCAACCTAATTGGTTATTTTAGATGAAAATATAATAAAAATAGATAAAATAACTATTTTGTATAACATTTTGTTACAGGCTCAAATCCACAAGACATAGGGCAGGAAATATGGGCAGAATTCATAATAAAGTGTCATTTTCACTTTTCAGCCCTCCCTTGGAATTAAATCTTCTCTGTTTATATAGCCTGAACCCCATATATATATATATATATACTTTTTCCCCAACAGATCAAAGTCCCAAATATGTACACCATCGGCCATCCCCCTCTCTCCAGCTTCTCCCATTTCACACTCCACCACCGCCAATCCGCCATGGAGACGCTAGTCCGCAGCACCACTGCCACCTTCAGCCACCGGCGGTCAAATGGGTACGAGCAGCTCAACCCTTACTACTACGGACCCACCGCCGCTCCTCGACACCACGACGACGATATTTTCTACTTCCCCTGCACCTCTAAGAAACGCAAATCATCCCGACGCCGCATTGCCACTCCTTTGGACTACATAATGGCGGTGGCTTGGTCTCCAGGGTACAGAATCATGAGGGCGAGGCAGAGGCAGATATTCCTGATGTCGTACCAATTGGCTTCGGAAGCAAACTTCAGCGGGGCCCGTCGGGAACAGGGAGGCTAAAGAAGGTGGTGGTGAAGGTGAAGATGGTGATGGCTTCGTTGGTGGTTTCTTTCATGAAAGTGGGCGGCAGGTTGAGATCGTCTTGCAGCTCTAAGGTGGCCACTTGCGTCTCCTCCCCCGTTCAAATTAGCAGGTTTTGCTGATCCCCTGTTTTTTCCCAGTTTCCTAATTTGCTGCCCTCTGCCTCGGCCTCTGCTCCAGGGGCAATCATATTAAGAGCTATTGACCGGATTGGGTTGGCTTTAGAGTTTTGGATGGATTGAAGTTCATCCCAGGAGGGAAATTTAAAACTTTGGTTAGGAATTATTTGGGTTTGTTCATAAATTGTGGTTCTATTATGATCTTGTTGTTAAATTTACTAGAGGTATCATGCTTCTTTTACCGAGGGGTTAACATTATTATTGACTTTTGATAAAGGGTAATATTGTGATTTCTATTCTTATTTTTTTTTTATCATTAATAGGAAGTGATCTTCTTTGGTGTATGATTACTCTCGTGGGTTATGATGAAATTGATATCTATGTAAGAAATGTTTGGTGATGTTATGATGAAATTGATATCTATGTAAGAAATGTTTGGTGATGTTGGGTCAAAGGCACAATGTTAAAGGCAATTGAGTGTAGCCTATTTAATCTTTACCTTTAATCTTAGACTTGGCAATCATCGGTGATGTTATAAACGCGCTACTACGGATCGGGAAATCGCCGGAATCGATAAAGCAAGAATACGAAAACGAGAATAAAAAACACAGACACACGATTTACGTGGTTCACTAACACGATGTGTGTTAGCTACGTCCACGGGCGAGAGAGAGCCAGTTTCACTATATTGAGGAGATTACAGATTACAAAGGAATATGAGAAGTATTTATAGTACTTCTCCATGTGGGTATAAACCTAATCCAATCTGGCAAAGGAAACGGTTACAGACCAGGCCCAGAATCCGAACCCAAATAACAGCAAGACCCCCGATTACCAGTCGTAGCGGCTGATAGTCCGATTCAAGTCACATCAACAAATCTTCACCTTGACTTGAATCCTCTTCCTCTGAAATCTCTGATGTACTCTGCTCCTTCTATCTCTCTCCCGCCATCAATGCCCCGCAGGGCGGAGTCACCCACTCAAGACATTCAGCAAGTCCAAGCAGTGTTGGAACTTGCCATGTGGAACTGGCTTCGTGAACATATCAGCAGGATTATTCGCGGTGCCAACCTTCTTCACCTTAATCCTCTTCTCTGTCCTCAAGAAATGATACCTCACGTCAATGTGCTTAGTCCTCTCATGGTGGACTTGATCCTTGGCCAAGCATATTGCACTCAAACTGTCGCAATACACCACTGCCTGATCATGATGTAGACCAAGATCACCAACCAATCCCTTCAACCATATTCCCTCATTAGCAGCTTCTGTCAATTCCATATACTTTGCCTCAGTAGTAGACAATGTCACCGCCGACTGCAAAGTTGCCTTCCAGCTCACTACAGAACTCCCAAGAGTGAATACATAACCGGTCATCTATCTCCTCGTGTCAACATCTCCAGCATAGTCCGAGTCAGAATACCCGGACACCAAGCACTCTGTATCACTTTCGAAGCTGATCCCAACATCAGGTGTACCCTTAAGATACCGGAAGATCCTCTTCACAGCCTGCCAATGCTCCTTCCCAGGTTGTATCATAAACCTGCTGACAACACTAACACCATGTGCAAGATCAGGTCTAGTGCATACCATAACGTACATCAAGCGACCTACTGCACTAGCATATGGGACTCTCGACATGTTCTCCTTCTCGGCCTCTAACTGCGGTGCATAAGCTGAGGATAGATGAACATTTGAAGCACTAGGAGTATGTAAGGGCTTTGCTGAAGACATGCCAAACCTCGACAATATCGTCTGGATGTAGCTCTTCTGTGACAAGAAAAGCTTCTTCTTCGACCTGTCCCTGTAAATCTCCATACCCAAGATATTTTGAGCAGCTCCCAAATCCTTCATCTCAAACTCAGCACTGAGAAGCCCTTTTAACTTCTGGATATCAGACTTTGACCTCGCAGCTATGAGCATATCACCCACATACAGAACAAGATAGATCATCGAACCATCCTCCACCTTGTTGTGATACACACAACAATCATATGGACTTCTGCTATAGCCCAGCTCAAGCATGTAACTGTCAAATCTCTTGTACCACTGCCTCAAAGACTGCTTAAGTCCATACAAGGACTTCTTCAGTTTACAAACATAGTCTTCTTTTCTCGGAACCTCGAATCCTTCTGGCTGAGTCATGTAAATTTCTTCCTCCAACTCTCCATGTAGGAAAGCTGTCTTCACGTCTAGTTGCTCGAGCTCCAAGTCATAATGTGCTACTATTGCTAGTAGCACTCTGATCGAAGTATGTCTGACCACTGGTCAGAAAATCTCATTGTAGTCAACTCCTTCCCTCTGCGAGAATCCTCTTGCAACCACCCGAGCTTTAAATTTCATGCCCTCTTTAGAAGTGATTCCTTCCTTCTTCTTGTAGATCCACTTGTTTGTAATAATCTTCCTTCCCTGTGGTCGTTTGACTAGCTCCCAAGTCTGATTCCTGTCATGGGATTCCATCTCATCTCCCATTGCGGCAAGCCACTGATCAGCTTCGCCACCCGAAATGGCTTCTCTATAGGACTGTGGCTCACCTACATCCACTTCTTCAGCAACCTGAAATGAATACACCACCATGTCCTTGAAACCATACCTCCCTGGAGGTACTCCTGCAGTCGCTCTCTTTGGTGTACCGGAAGCTATAGACTGTTGAGATCCTGCACTGGACTTTGAAGTTTCTGGTTCTGTAGAAACATCCTCATGTTGATCCTCTGCACCTTGGTGCTCAAACTCACTCTCATTGAGAGTTTGCAGCTCCACCTGCTTATCAACATTCCCGCTACCTTCAACAACAGTAACCTTCAACATGGGGTTAAACATTCGTCTCATCAAATATCACATTTCTACTGAGTATAACTCGATGCTCAGAAGGTGACCAGACTCGAAATCCCTTAACTCCATCTCCGTAACCCACAAATACACCTTTTTTCCCTTGGATTCAGTTTACCCTCATCCACATGATAATAAACAGGACACCCAAAAACTTTCAGTGAGGAGTAATAAGCAGGCTTACCATACCACACCTCATAAGGAGTCTTCAACTCAATACTTGTGTGAGGTCCACGGTTGATCAGGAAGCACTCCATGTTCACTGCTTCTGCACAGAATCTTCTCCCTAGTCCAGCATTAGAGAGCATGCACCGTGCTCTCTCCAGCAACATCTGGTTCATCCTTTCTGCAACGGCATTCTCCTGGGGGTATCTCTCACAGTCCGATGACGGGCAATCACTTCATCCTTGCAAAATTCGTTGAACTCAGAATTACAGAACTCCAGACCATTGTCCGTTCGTAGCTTCTTGATTTTCTTCCCGGTCTGATTCTCCACCAATGTCTTCCACTGCTTGAACTTCGTGAAAGCCTCACTTTTCTTCTTCATCATGAAAATCCAAGTAAATCTCAAATAATCATCAATAATAGACAGAAAATACCTGCTGCCTCCAATGGATTCAACTCGTGAAGGACCCCAACAGTCGGAGTGGAGGTAATCTAGTATCCCCTTCGTCCGGTGGATACCCTTCTTGGGAAACTTGCTGCGATGTAGCTTCCCAAACACACAATGCTCGCAGAATTCCAAATTCTGCATCTTGTGCCCGCAAATAAGATCCCTCTTCGACAGAACTTGCATCCCCCGTTCACTCATATGCCCCAGCCTCATGTGCCAGAGAGTGATCATATCTTCTTAATGAACCTGAGACGATACAACTGCAACAGAACCAGACAACACAGACCCTTGTAATGCATATAAGGTCCCACGCTCACGCGCTTCAGCACCTTCCTTGAACCTTTGCAGACATACACAACTCCACCTTTTCCTTTGAAACTGAAACCCTTGCTGTCGAGTAGACTCAAGGAGATCAGGTTCTTTGTCATTCATGGAACATGCCTGACATCATTCACGGTACAGAACGAACCATCATGTGTCCGAACCTTTATGGACCCGATTCCAACAACCTTGCAGACAGCTCCATTAGCCATGACCACGTTACCACCATCTATCTGCTTGTAGGTTGTGAAGCAATCCCTTTTCGGAGACATATGGTATGAGGCTGAGTATCCAGAAACCACACATCCCCACGATGTGCCTTCTCATCTACAGCCAAAGCGAGATCGTCTTCAGAACTGTTGTCCACTTTTGCCACGACAACTGAACCTTGTTTCTTCTATTGCCCTCTTCTCTTGGGACAATTGTACTTCCAATGCCCCTCGGAATTCTTGTTCGAATTCCCTTTACCAGATTTCTTCTTTCCCTTTCCACCTGTAACTGCCAAACCCGATGCCTCACCACCTGTACCAGATCCGGATGACTTATGTCTGATCTCTCTCGTATGAAGAGCAGACCTTACATCTTCCAACGACACGCTTTCTTTACCGGCAATAAAAGAGTCAACGAAATTCTCATATGAACTCGGCAAAGAAACCAGCAGGATTAGGGCAGCATCCTCGTCATCAACTTGAACATCTATATTACGCAGATCCAACAAAATAGAGTTAAGCTGTTCGAGATGTTCCCTCAAAGGCGTACCTTCTTGCATCCTCAAGCTGAACAACCGTTGCTTGAGATGCAGCTTGTTGGTTAGAGACTTAGTCATGTACAGACTCTCTAGTTTCAACCACAAGCCCGCGACAGTCTTCTCAGTAACGACTTCAATGATGACGCCATCAGACAACGATAGCATGATGGTCGAGTGGGCCTTCTCCTCTAGGGTATTCCACTCATCGTCATCGACCGCTGCCTTCTTCTATTTCGCAGACAGCGGCCCCCACAGCCCTTGCTGTTTTAATAAAGCCTGCATCTTGATCTGCCATATAGCGAAGCTGTTCTTCCCCGTGAACTTTTCGATCTTCATGTTCACCAACGTCATTCTTCTGAATCGAAAACCCTAGCATGCTTTCCAGCCGCGGCTCTGATACCACTTGTTATAAACGCGCTACTACGGATCGGGAAATCGCCGGAATCGATAAAGCAAGAATACGAAAATGAGAATCGAAAAACACAGACACACGATTTACGTGGTTCATTAACACGATGTGTGTTAGCTACGTCCACGGGCGAGAGAGAGCCATTTTCACTATATTGAGGAGATTACAGATTACAAAGGAGTATGAGAAGTATTTATAGTACTTCTCCATGTGGGTCTAAACCTAATCCAATCTGGCAAAGGAAACGGTTACAGACCAGGCCCAGAACCCGAACCCAAATAACAGCGAGACCCCCGATTACCAATCGTAGCAGCTGATAGTCCGATTCAAGTCACATCAACAGGTGATACCGTTAGATCAATTTTTTGTTGACAGTTTGGATGATAAATTTCACTTAGGGTCATTATAGGGACTACTATAAAAGAAAGAATTGTTCTTTACTTTTTTTTTACACCAAATTTTACTCATTGGTCAAGCAAAAAGAGAGATACTTTATGCAACCGTTAAATAAAAAATGATCTATCTATCTGATCATTCCCTTCTCCAGCGAATACATAGCAGAGTTCCCTCAATACACGGGCAGAAGAACAACAACAGCCAACCTCTAGAAAAGACAAACAAACAGAAAACTCATTTCTCCATCCTCGTCTTGTTCTTTCACATGAATGTTGGTTGGGAAGGAGGGCTCAACTACCGGGGCAAAAATTTCTTTTTTCTATTCTCAATTCAAATGGATAACCGGCAGGGTGAACACAAGGACAAGGAGGGATATTCATCGGATTTTGACAGAAGAAAACCAGAGCATCCAATCCTCGATAACAGTCACCCTTCATCAATCAAACCACCTCCGGGGAGGCGACGCGTCCCAAGAAGGTACCGTGAGGAAGGAGATAATGTGGGAGGAGAAGGAGGATGTTGTGTGAAATGCATGTGTTGTTGCTTCTGCCTTTGGCTTCTCATCATCCTCTCCCTCGTTGGAATCCTTGTCATGCTCTATTCAATCCTCCAGCCCCGACCACCATCCTTCAACATTCAATATTTTCAAGTCAATGCCTTTAGCCTCCGCCCTAACTCTGGCAACACAACCCTAACCACAGAATTCTTTCTGACGCTAAAATCCCAAAACCCGAACAAAGGGATTGGGTTCTTCTACGGGAGAGGAAGCTCTGTTTCCATGTTGTACAATGGCACCACCATTATTTCGTCAGGAAAGCTTCCTACTTTTCAGCAGACCGCAGAAAGCACCAACTTGATGAATGTTACCTTGGACGGGATGAGTAATCTTGAATCGGGGCTTCAGGATAGTTTGGAAGAGAATGAGAAGGGAGGAAGGATTCCTTTGCTTGTGATGGTAAATTCCCCTGCTGCCGTTGTGCTTCGGTCATTTCCCTTGAGGGAGATCGCAGTTTTTGTCAATGGTTCTTTGGTGGTTGATAGCTTGATCCCTGGTAGGAACCCCAAGATCTTGTCATCCCAGTATGCGTGTAGTGTTGGGTTGTAAGTCTCGTATTGGCGAATTATGACTTGATTTCTTCTTCAAATGGTGCAAAGATTTGGAGGGCTAAGAGCCATAGAACGAGACACTTGCGCCCATTTGACTGTTCTCTCGGAGACCAAAGCACAAGCATCATGAATTGCACTGCAATGTCATGACACCAACATCGTCTTCTCATTTTTCATGCTGCAAGATTGGGAACTGATCCATCGTTGCAAGACAAGAGATTGACATTGGTCCAGAGATAGGGATGCTTGCCCTGCTGTAAACATGTGCAGTTACTGATCCGAAAGGACATAGACTTGGAAAAAAGAGAAAAAGAGAGAGAGAGAGAGAGAGAGATCTCAACGTCGACAAAACTTCATCAAATTGGGAATAGTAAAATATGTAGAGAATGGTTCCTTCCAATGTAGACAAACATGTCGAGACAATTTATTGTATAGCTGCCAAACTCAATGTACAAAGTCTCTAACAGAGTTTTAAAGATCACAGAGCTTGATCTCAGATTTTCGTGTTTCAGTCTGTTTCCATATTCTAATAAAGGTCTTGGCTTCAAAGTTACTTTGGAGGCACAAATCAAAATCCACATCATCATGTTTCATACATGTTATTTTTTTGTGGCTTGTATGATTAAATAATTAGCATTAGACGCGGAGAAGTTTCTAGTATTGGATCTTTTGGCAGCTACTGATGGGTTGATCATATACCAACATGTGATGTACCCGAAATTTGTGGTTTGGAACGTAGCTTATTAAACAACAGAAAGTCACTTGAATTAGGTTCATTTCTTAAGTGCAAAAGCAAAAACAAGAAATATTTTACTAACTACACATTTTAGCTTTTTCAAAATTCCTAATCTAACAATATAATGCAAATGAATATGTTTTGATTCAATTTGACAATGTCTTAAATTTTGTTGGAGACTCATGGCACAAAAATGCTAGAAGGATGAACAATGGAAAAGAACTGAGGGAGAGCATGGAAAATGTGCTCTTCGAGAAACTCAGTAAAATGTTTGTAAGGTATCTTATTTTTTATTCATCGGTAGAACTAACACGAATAATTTAGTTGATAATGTGTTATACTCCAAATATTTTAAGGTCAAAAAGTGCTTGGAAAGATTAATGAAATGATTGAAATAAGAAGGAAAATATTGGAGGAGAAAAAACAGACCAAGTGTGAGGATCACTAATATGATCATTGATCCAATGATCATGTCTCCCAACTCCCCTCCTAGCCATACCTACAAATTCAATGATCATGCAATTGGATTCCTTAGCTAGGGCTAAATCTTATCCTTTTAAAATGGGTTTAAACCCATAAGCACAAAATTGAATGACTTGATGATCATGCAACAACCCAAAGAGCATCAATTGAGTAAGTCCCTACTTAAACTAGGTGAATGGTTATCTACTGTAGGTCAGCCCCTAATTTATCTCACTTCTAATTAACACATGCAATTAATTCATGTAATAGAGCATTAAGAGCATCAATTACAAAAGACATACCATAAGTTAACTAGATCATGACCATCCAATACATATTGCCCCAAATACCTCAGAAAATACCTCATGTGTGGGGTGGGGGGGGGGGGGGGATACATAAATAGCATAGGAAGAACATGGGGAAGGCCTCGTGTGTTGTGTGTTGGAGATTAGTTCCAAAATTCGTTATATTTCTCATATTCTCGTGTTCTAGGTCTCATCTTTTTCAAAGGAAAGAACACATCTCTCTCTAGCAGTTGTGTTAGTTTCTCTCACGTCAACCTCTCCTCGCCCGTTGGGGTCCTACTCCATTTAAAGGAATCTGAGACTCGAACAAGTTCAGGGCCTCCCTCAGAGAAGTTCACAGTCGTGAACTCGAATATTGTCACGTGATCTTCATGCGACATCATTCAACCATGTTTGTGCTCGGAGATAACAGGTAGAAGATCCTTGTCGTTAACTTATTATCGCGACAGTGAACTTTATCGTGCTTTCATAGTCCTCAAGTGATAAGATGTCGAGCTCGTGAAAGTTTAGGTTCTTTTGTCAAAGTTGCGCAGCTTCGATATTTTTAAGGTTTTCTGATATTTTCTCTCAACAACTCGAAAGTAAAGGATATGGCAGAATTTTCGTGCAATCTGAACACAAATTTGGGAGAAAGCTCGAACAATATAAGGGTAGCAGCTCGACCACAATCAAGGGGAATACCTGATTGATACAGAGCTCGCTCCAATGCTGGAGATCCACTTACAAGCAAGGACAAAATTCAAAAGTAAAAACTCAATCAAATTCGTGGCTTACAACCCTTTAAATAGGTATAAAAAATAAACCTAATGAAAACACCAAAAAGTAAAAGAATCATAAACGAAAAAGGTAACAAAACTCGGCATGGGCCAAATCCCGATCCAAAAACCCGATCGGGTATTAATTGCACTTGAACGGGGGAATTCTTAACCAATTCCTCGGTGTGCCTCCATTTTTCCCTAGTCTAGGATTCTTTTATTGTGGCCAGATTTCTCTGATGGCGGGGAATCACATCATCGAGTCGAACTGCGAGACCTTATGTTCCTTAATTATGTCGATGGCTTCCCGAAGTTCACAGCCTCGGCTCCAAAGATCGCGACCGTGAACTCTCACATGCCATGCAAACTCCATATCCAGTTCGAATGTTTTCGGTCGTGATACTCCGCCTTTTGCAAGCAAACTCTCCTGCCCATTTATCTACACTTGATGCTATATTATGTTTTAGGTGGCTTAAACCCACACACCTTCACCTATTGAATATCGTATGCATGCTAGGAAGCGGAAGAATGTTAGAATGAGAGTTTAAGTGCTTGTTAAAGCACAAAATGACATTAGAATACCAAGAACTAGGTAAGTATATAACACAAAATTGGTTGTTATCGGTGGGTAGCCTACAATACGGTTTTCATATATCACTTATGTAGAAAGGGTGCTTCCAAGACTTGTACTGCATTTGATACGTTAGTGCATAATGACTTAAGTTATCTCACCTCCATCCAAAAGAAGACTTCAAAATACAATAAATATGAATAAAAAAGGATTCAAACAAATAAGTTATACATGTAACAAGAATCAAACGTTACATTGTCTAAAGAACCTCTAGTATTCGCAAATCAACACAACTAACGAAGTAACCACTCACGGGGCCATAATCTAAGGATAACATCAGTCTAAAGACGAGATTCCGAAAGACCTTGAAAAATGGCATCCATAACAAGCAAAAAGCACCTATGGTGCCATTTCTGTCGCCAACCTTCCCTCGAGCCTACTGGTCGCTTATGGACTAGTGAATTCCTTGGTACGCAGAGTAACCCCCTATATGACTTCCTACAATAATGTTGTCCAAGAGGGTCTATTTAAAGCATCTCCCTTAAGGTTATTTAAGTGATAAAGTAGGAGAGAAACTCTTTTGACTGAATCCCTCTACCATATCTCCAACTTAGCATCCATGTAAGGCATATTCGAACAATTTTGGGCCGATAAGGGTAATCTAAGATATGATGCACGAGACTTCATTTTGGGCTTTTGGTCAACTAAATTTCACATCATTTTTTTGTTTTAGCTCCAATCTTTTGATTTTTTTTTTACTTCCAACACTTGGGTATTGATGCACCCACTCGTATAAGGTGATCCACTAGTCTCATAAAAACATACCAGAAAACTGAAAACTATCCACAAATTTCTTAAAGTATTCCGAAAAAATCATAAAGCTAACAAAGTATCATGAAATATACCAGAATATCTGAAACCACTCCACAACTCTCATTAAGCATACCAAAAAGACAGAAAAACAACACAAGAAAACTTCATAATGCTGATTATAAGTTTTATTAAACATACCAAAAAAACTCAAAACCATAAGCTTAATGATTAATGTTAGCATTGTGCTATATGGTGTTAGCTCCGGGATAAGATCTGATGACTAATGGAGGATCCCTTAGTCACTTGCTAAGTCGATCTCAACCTTTCAAACTCATTAAAATCCAATGGTTCTAATTAATTTCATTTTATAAAGGATAATATGGTAATTGCATTGCATTTTAGTTTTCAATTATTAAGTAATTAAAAAAAATCCTTCTTTATTCTGGCTCACAGGCCCCGACGGCGACCACCCTTCTCAGGTGCCAATTATTCTTGTTCTAGGTGTGTTCTTTCCCACTTCCTTTGTGGTTCTGGAGAGAGAGAGGATTTTCCGGCAGAAATTTTAGAGAGAGAGAGAGAGACATAGATGATTTTCGAGCCGCGACGAGAATATTCTGGCGACAACATCAATTTTGTGATGTTTTTTGTTATACTTTGTAATATTTGTATGTCCGATTTGTAATGTTTATATCACTTTGGGTTGTATTGTTTATTATTCTTGTTTATCGATTTTATCTATTATATTTGTAATGTTATATGACTATTTTGTATATATATATATATTGTAATTTGTAATGTTTGTTTGTCTAATTTGTATACTTATATGTTATGATTTGTATACTTTGTATTCATTAGTTTGTAATACCAGTTTACCGATTTTTGTAAGTAGTGGTATTTTGTACGATTAGTATGTTTTGTATTATTTGTTGGTTTCTTTTGTGATGTTTTTAAACTTTGTTATTTTTGTCCACTATGTTTGTCATTTTTTCAACCATGTTTGTAATTATTTAATGTCTAAAAAATAACTTGGTTGATTTTTGGACCAAAGTCCTCTATATGGAGATGGAGCCTCCAAAGTCAACCCAATTGTTTTTCCATTTTGTATAGTTTGTCTGTCTAGTTTGTAATTTTCATCCACCATGTTTGTATGTCTAAAAAAAGGGTTGACTTTGGAATGGTGCCCCTCTATATAGGAATGGAGCCTCAGAAGTCAACCCGGTTGTTTTTCCACTTTTTATGGTTTGTATTGTTTGTCGGTCTACTTTGTATAGTTTGCATAGTTTGTATAGTTCGTACGTTTTGTATTGTTTGTAAATCTGTTTGTATGTTTTTTCATTCTAGTTTGTATTGTTTGTAAGTCTGGTTTGTATACTTCGTAATTTTTCATAATATCCAAACTACCCCTGTCATTAATTAAAAAGCCCTTCCCGCTTTTCAACCATCAGATTGGTGTGTCCAGATCTAAAAGCTTGTAGGGGCTTAGTCAAGTGACTAAGCACCCACCGGTCACTTGATTCGCCCTCGTTCACACCCTATCTAGCTGCCCAATTCTACTACCGACAAGGGCAAGCTCAACCTTCGGCTTGAAAACCTTACCATGCATATGATTTGTATTGCGCAAACCATGGTAGGCCCATAAAGATTGTCAAACGGGCTCAACGGTAAGTGGACAAGAGTCAGCGAGCGAAACGCTACCAAAGCTTCCAGAACCAATTATGTAGAGTAAAACGGAATTTGAAACTCAAAATCTAATTGGATAGCAGGTTTAGCCCTGTTGTTTCTTATCTCACCCTCTACACATAACCATAACACACCTATATCCTCTGCTAAGCAAAAGAATACCTCCCCCAACTTTCAGGGAAGCTGACCAATCAAATCGCCACCTCAAGTTTCACCAATGGCTCTTCGAGTGGCCACCATTCTTTCTTCCACATGCTCCCTCCACAAAGAGTTTAGTTAATTTCATTCGCAATATCCGGTGCAAGTGTTATTACCAATGTTTTCATGTTTTGTCGTTTGATTGTTCTTTCCGGGAAAGCCCATTACTTCTCTCAAGGAAACATAATTTTTCGAAGCCTCGATCCCATTTCCGAATCGCCCGAAAGAAGAATCCCAGACACTCCTGATAATAAGCAAGGTTAGTTGATCGACCATGTATACTATCAAGAACCCTTAAGCTGTTTTCACAATAAGAAAAATAAGCCTCAAAATGGCGAGTTTGAGATACTTTAGGGAATTGGTGATATGGGTTTTCGCGAGACAGGAACGTTGATAGCGGTAAATGTCATTTTCTTAACTCCTCATACTCATGAAATCAGGAAAAGGGAAGTACCTTATGGAACACTAGTAGTCCGAGCCCAAACTGCTACTACAACCCCAACAATGACCAATTATGCGACAGGTGCGGGAAAGACCAAGAGAAAAGGCAACGTGATATTCACAGGAGCTTCATCAGGGCTAGCCACAGCCATGGCACTAGGGCAAACAAGGGAATGGCATGTGATCATGGCTTGCAGAAACTTTCTCAAGGCGGAGAGGCAGCCAAATAATCCGGCATCCCAAAGCAGAACTGCACAATAATGAACCTCGACCTTGCCTCACTTGACAGTGTCAGACAATTTTCTGAGAATGTTCGGCGTTTGGAGAAGCCTGATGATGTTCTGGTATGCAATGTTGTTGTCTATCTGCCCACTAACAAGGAGCCAACTTACCAGCTGATGGGTTTGAGCTCAGTGTCGGGACTAATCACCTTGGCCACTTTCTTCTCGCCAGGCTCCTTCTCGATGACCTGAAGCAATCGGATTACCCTTCCAAATGCCTTATCATTGTCGGCTCCATAACAGGTAACGACTAGTAGTAAGATGACCAAATAACCAACAACAATATATAGCGACTCCATATTTTCACTAATGTTGTTCCAATCCATGAAACACAAACACATTGGCTGGAAACGTGGGGGATTTGAGAGGGCTTATTGGTGGCTTGAATAGGGTGAACACTTCCTCAATGATCAACGAGGGAGAGTTTGACGGTTCCAAGGTGTACAAAGATAGCAAAGTCTGCAACATGCTCACGATGCAAGAATTCCACAGGAGCTATCATGAAGAGATAGGAGTTACCTTTGCTTCGCTCTACCCTGGTTGCATTGCAGAAACAGGTTGGTTAAGGGAGCATGTTCCTTTGTTCATACTTCTATTCCCACCTTTCCAGAAGTACATTACTAAAGGCTATGTTTCTGAGGAAGAAGCTGGTAAGAGACTCGCACAGGTCTGGTTTTTAGAAAGGTATCTTTCAGGTTTTCTTTCCTTCTCCAATTAAAAAAAAGGAACAACTTTGATTTCAGGTTGTGAGCGAACCGTACCTTACAAAATCGGGTGTCTATTGGAGCTGAAACAATAACTCGTCTTCATTAGAGAACCAGCTTTATGAAGAAGCTAGTGATGTTGAAATGGCCAAAATGTTGTGGGAAATAAGTGAGAAGCTTGTTAGGTTGGCTTTAAGGGTGGGCATCGGTTCGGTTCGGTCGAAACCGAACCTAACAGGAGCATACCGAGTTCCTAAAACAGGCCAAAGGTGCAACCAAATTCGAACCGAAATATATTTCGGTTCGGTCAAATCAAACCGAAATAAATCCCAGTTCGTTTCGGGATCCCGACAAGCCCAAACTTCTTCTCTACCCTACTTTCCCACTTCCCCTTCAATCTTCTGTCCTCTTTGCTACTCTCTCTCTCTCTCTCTCCCACAAACTTTCCCACTTTTCCTTCATCCCTCCCTCTGCTACTCTCTCTCTCTGTCTCTCTCCCAAAATCAAAATTCCGTCCTCTTCTTCACCTCTCCCTTTGCTGCTCTACTCTCTATCCCTCCCCTACACACTCTCGCCCAAACAAAGTTCATTTTTCAGAGGAAAGAGAGGTAGAGATCTCAAAGGTGTCTCCGGTCCGCCCTCTTCAAGCACTCTGCCACCCAGAGCGCATCCCGGCACCGGCTCGTTTATCCAAGCCCTCTAATCACCGGGAAAAATGGTGGGGCCTCCTTTCCTATCTCAGATCTTCCTCTCATTAATGGATTGCCAGATCCGACTCTTCTCTAGTTCCTAACTGGGTTGTCGTTCACCGCGCCCTTCAGTTCTTGGCCTTCGCTTCTTCATCCGAAGCAGTAGCAACCCCGACTCCCTCAACCCGATCGTCGTCTCCTCTCTCTCTCTCTCTCTCTCTCTCTCTCTCTCTCTCTCTCTCTCTCTCTCTCTCTCTCTCTCTCTCTCTCTCTCTCTCTCTCAACGAGTTCCTTCGCTTGCAAAAGCCAGACTCAGAGCGTTTTAAAGAGAAGGTAAGAGAAAAGAAGAGTTGGGATCCATAAGAGAAGGGAAGAGAAGGAAAGAGAGTGTCAGCCGTCGGTGATGCTAGCTTTGGCAGCGGCGGCAGGGGGTTCCTCTTTTCTTCCTCTGTCTGTATTCTTCCTTCCTAAGGGTTAGCAGGGTAGAGGGCTTAAAGAGTTTGTATTGGGTGGGCTTCAGCCTATTGAGGGAGTGTGTTTGGATGGGCTTCGGCATGTTAGGGTTGAGGGAATGTGTTTGGGTGGCTTGGCTCACCAGCAACTCGGCGTTCAAATCGGAAAAAACTCATTCGACACTCGACTTGTTAGTAAACAAGCCAAGGTGGAGCTAGACCATGCTCCGTTTGATAAGCTCGTGAGCTAGCTTGACTTGGTGGCTTGTTAAGCTAAGGTCGCAAGCTGTCTTGTTTAGAGCTAATGGAATGATTAATTACTCTTCTAAACATTAACATTATCTTGTTAATATGGATGTGTATGGAACTTATCTGTTATTTTTAGTTTCTAGTGTTCTTTTTATCATTTACATTCTTATGTGTACACATTCTTCGGCAAGAATGATTTCAAATCGAACTCATCTTGAGCCGAGCTTGTACTAACTTTGACAAGCTGTGTTAATGAGCATTTACCGAGCTCTATCGAGTCGAGCTCGATCTGGATTATTTTTAATCGAGCCTAGCTCGAGCTGAAAAAATAAACGAGCCAAGCTCAAGCTAAGCAAAAGCTCGACTCGACTCGGCTCGTTTGCGGCCATAGTTGGGATCGCAGAGGGGGAAAGGTTTGGGACAAGTGAGCGGGCTTAATAACAATATATATGGGTCGGGTTTAGTTTGTTCGGTTTTTGGTTCGGATTTCAGAAACTCTATTCGGTCGACCAGACCCTAATTCAAAAATAAGCATATTTCCTTTCCGAATTCTAAACCGAACACCTTTAGTTCGGTTCCGGGTCGGTTTTGATCGGTTTTAGTTCGACTGGATTCGGGTTTACCGAACCGCATGGCCACCTCTAGTTGGCTTGAAAGGAGGATTTACTCGAATTGCTTCATTTTGAAGAATATACCATGAGAAACTAGTCAGGAGAGAACTAGACTTTGTAATGAAATCATCTCGTCTCCTGGGGTTGTAATTGTACAAGCTGAGTACCAAATGAGATCAAAATTCATTCATAATGCTGATTATAAGAGTGCCAGCGGCTTTCATCGTATATAAGTGAACATGGATATACTAACAACATCGAATCTATATCTCAAAGGGGAAGAACAAAGTAACCTTGACCACTCGAACAGGGAACCATGGTTACACTTGATACAAGTGCGATCTACAAAATGAGACACAAAAGGCCAAACTAAGTGGTAACAGCAGCAAAAACTAGTTTTTGTTATTTTCAGAAGCAGCATTCTCTTCCTTCCCAAGTGCAACCACCACTTTCTTCAAGATTGCTTCGGTCGACATGTGGGCGTTCTCCACAGCCTTTGAAATCGATTGCCATTTCTCTCCATGCTTCGGATCAGCATCAATGCACTTCTTTATAACATCCTTCTGAGTCTCTTCACTACCATGTTGCAGTTCAAGCTTGTAAAAAAGGGACCAGAAATCACCAATATCAGGTGCAACTGTGACCGCTCGACCCAGCCAGTTTCTTGCTTTATCAACCTTCCTATCTTGCATGAAGAACTTGGCAACAGCAGCCACAACATGCGGATCATGATCGGTTTTCTTGAGAGCATCCGAACTCCTGCTTTTCCTTTGAGGACGTGGGACCATCTCAATTGACGCTGCCCACAGTATGCCACTGTTGGGACACTCCTGCAGTGCCTTAGCCATCAAGTTGTCAGCTTCCTTCTTATTCCCGTGACTTGATTCAGCACGTACAGCAGCAAGCCACAGTTCTGGGTTCTGTGGGTTCTTCTTCCTCGCCATGGTCAGCACAGCTCTAGCTCTACCCAGTCCATTCATTCTCTCTTCCAGGCAAGCCAGAGAAAGCCATAAAGGTACACAGTTCGGGCAGTGCTTCAGCCCCAACTCATAAACTTCCTTAGCTTTCTCCAGCTGACCTAGCCTTTCCTCCAGCTGGCCGAGCATCAACCACAGTTTGAAAAATGAAGGAAATCGCTTCAACCCCTCGTCAAGCATTATCCTTTCCTTCTCAGTATCCCCTAATTCTCTCTCAACAATTGCAGATTTCATCCACACCCTCTCTGTACCTCCACTCTCTCTTGCCTTACCGAGCAATATTCTAGCTCTTTGAGGTTCGTGATTCTCGAATTCGAGCTTGAACGCTGCAAGCAAAATCTCCTCGGAGTTTGGTATAGCTTTATAAGCTTCATCGAGAATTGCTCTAGCAGCTGGGACATCACCAGCAAGCCACTTCTCCTTGGCACCCATAAGCCAAAGCACCTCTGTCTGTGGAGTATATGTTACTGCTTTCCTCAAAAAGGCATCAAGAGATTCCCTAGTTCCATGACTCTTCTCAAGCTGTGCAGCTTTAAGCCAAATGCTCTTCTTGGTCAAAAAGACGCTAAGTGCATGAGCATAAATAGCTCTGGCCGTCTCAATAGATCCTCGCTTAATACACTCCTCAGCATCTGCCACCCAAGTCCTTTTCCTATCTTCTTCCTCAACTCCGATACCGATTGTATTGCTTACAATGGCTTGACAAGTTGTTACAGAACCTGCCCTCTCTGCAGCCTCAGCCTCCTTCATCCAGGCTTCCCGATCAATTGCCAACCCTTCTCTCTGCAGAGCTCTGATACCTCTTTCAATAAGCTTCCCTACCATAGTAGTATTCCCATTTGCCTCTTCCAGCTTTGCGGCTGTGATCCATATAGCCGGCTCCTTAGTTAGCTTCTCCCTTGCACGATTCAACACTTTCCTTGCATTAGCATATGTCTCTAATCGAGCTAATGCCAACCACAATTCCACATGCAATGGGCAGCATTCAACAGCTCGGTGAAGCAAAACCCTAGCCTCCCCTTCATTGGACAGCTCGACCACTGCTTTCCATAACCTAACCGAATCTGGAATATTGTCAAGACCTTTCATCAAAACTCTCCTTCTATTCACATCATCATGTTCCAACTTTGAAGCTTGTAACCACAACTTGACTGAATTTGGAATCCTCTTGACTCCCCTAGCAATCACAGCTTTGGCTTCATCAGGACTAGCCAAGCGACAAGCTTCCAACCAAACGTCCTCGTTCATGGGACATTCCTCACAACCCTTTTGAATCAATTGCCTGGCCACTTGAATCTTCCCAGCCACCTCCTCCAACCTTGAAGCAGCAATCCAGCCAGGAGGGTGCTTAGGATTGGACTGAGTAACACTTTTCAACAACAATCTTGCCTTCTTAATATCCGATATCTCGGCATCACTAGTGATCTTCATACTCTTCAAATCAGTCAAGTAACCCTTTGGATCCACAACAGTTAATCCGGAAACTGAATCAGATAACCTATCTAACTTTATAGACAAAACAGTGCCTCTACCTTCACCAACGGCAGTCAAGTCGGTAACTGGAGTCTGCGACCATGGCGTCTCAGCTCCACCAGCAGCTCTGCTCTTGGGATCTAAAGCCGTAACGTGTTCTTGCTCTTGCCTGGCCTTCTCAAGCAAAGTGTCTGGAACAGGGACAAAGCTCTCAAACCTTTTCTTCTTGTTTCTCAACGAATAATCTCCAATATCGGGAATGCTTTCCCAATCATTTGCAGACATAGTGTGCAACTTCCTCTTCAAATCGGCGAATTGCTCTGTGATCTTAGGATTGGAAGCTCGATACTTCTCAATCTCCTCTTTCAACCTGGCCTCTCTCCGGTCTTTCCTTCGGGAATCCATCCTCTGATCAATGGCTTCCCAAACAGCATCCGCTTCCTTATCGTCTTCATCATACTCCGTCGAAGCAAACAACCCAACATCGTTTCCTTCAAATTCGTCGAACTTCTGGTTCTCATCATAACCCTTGTCTTCGGCCTCTTCATCTTCGTCTTCATCAGGCTTCCCAGCGCCTCTTCCCACACCAGGAGCCGCTGCACCGATTGCAGCAGCCGACCTGTCGGGTAGATCCGG